CAGGGAGCCCGATGCGGGACTCGATCCCGGGACTCCAGGATCATGACCTGAGCCGAAGGCAGTCGCTTAACCAACTGAGCCACCCAGGTGCTCAATTACTCTGTTCTTAAATCCAAACCCTGATGCCTTCATTAATATTCTTCCCTATCAGACCTCACTCCCCTAACCCTTACTTCCCAACCCAAGCCTTCGACTCCTTCCAGACGTCACCATCTTCCCTTATTTGTGCCAATCACAGGGGCTCCCAGGCTCCCTCACCCCCATCTCTCATCTCCTGGATGACCCACCTCAAGATGCCTTCCATACAGCTCCTGCTCTATAAATCTTCCCTATTAACCCGTCTGGCAAAATCTTTCATTGACTCTGAATTTCTGTAACTGGTTTTTCTCATGATTTGCTCCCCTCCAGGCTCAATGAATATCTACCGAGTGATCAAACATTTGTGCTATCAAAACACCAGAATCCTACTCTAGGCGATTTATTGGTGTCCTTCGATCGCTTCAGAGAGACCATAAACTCCTCAAGATTAGAGATCTTCCTTTACCTCCTTCCCTTTAGGAGATCTACCCACACAGGACACACAGTAGGCTCCTGGTGAACACCTGATGAATTGAACTGAATTAAAATGCATCTCTGCCCTACCTCAAACAACCATGTAACCAACCTGAAGATAATCTCTGCAACCAAAAGAATCAGACAAAAAAAAAAAAAAAAAGGTTAGATTATTCTGAAGAAGGAGATTACTGGACATTTTTTATGTCCTAAATTTTTATCCCCATTTTTTTGAGGTCTTAGTAATGGTCTTAAGTGTTCCAAATTAAGTCTAGACAGAGTATTTTGAATAGCCCAGAGCAGAAACAAAAAACTCTACACATTTTAATCACTGACTATCTTTTGCCTGAATGGCGTGTCTTTTTGTTTGTTTTTCTGGAGAGTAGAGCTTAATATTTGGTCTTGTTTTTAGTTTCCTGGTCTCGCCAATAGTGGAAATACCCCCACATCAATTTACTGCTGGCTCTCCCTCAACTGAAACAAACAAAAAAAAAAACAAAAACAAAAAAACCCCCCAAACCCCCCACAAAAACTGGCATCAGTGTAGAATCTCATAGGGAAATGGCAGGGACTTCCAAGGTGAGGTAACGGGAGTAAAGAGGATTACCCACAACTCCATTTCTTGGGGTGTGAGCACGTGAAAGGTAACACCATTAAGGAAATCTCTTTCTCCCCAGCAGCGTTCTCAGAGTGGGCCGAAGACCACCCTGCACAAGTTCACATCCAATTCCCTGCAGTGAACTCTGTATGTGTGTGTGTGTGTGTGTGCACGGTGGAGACTTTCTTGGGGGGCACTTCTCTGGAAGTTCTGATTTGGTGGGTCTGGGGCAAGACCTTGGTGGAAATGTGTTCTTAACAAGGTCTCCTGGTGATTCTTATGCACAATACAGTTGAGAAACAGTGTGATTTGGCAGTTAACTATGTTAACAGACCTTCAAGTTGGAAGGTCAAGTAGGAAGGGGATACTCATGCATCAGATGTAAAAATCTAAAGAAGGAGCCTTTGTTTCCTGAAAAACACACTGTCAGGCTTGCCTCTACAGTGATATGCCCCCAACCTTGGCCAACCAAATCCTGGAGTTCCCTCCCTGTGACACCACCCATCCTTTCATGTACCTCAGGCCGAGGACAGAAACATCTCTCTATGTCATCTTGTTTCCATGTCACTTGTCAGGGAAGAGAATAAGGTAAGGTATTTAATACTATCCCATTTCAAATAAGTAGGGACATGTGAGTGTCCTCCCCTTTGAAAGTGAGAGGTCACAGGGGATAATCACCCAACACAGACATAGGGGCCCCAGAAGGACCAGGCCCTATGGAAGGACAGATCCAAAGTGTGGAACCTCCTTAGATGCACAGCTCAAACACAAGACATGTTCTCTCAAGATGTGGCTGAAAATGTCTTCCTTCTCAGATCAACAATGGACAATTATAGAGTTTTTTCCTGCCCTCAGCCCCCGGCCCCCATAAGAGGCAAAGGAATTGAGAAAATCAACTTGAAAATCGTGGCCTGGAGTTGGCTGTCCCTCACAGATAGCTAGGACTAACACACACAGAGCCGAAGACTGTCCTCAAGCACCTGCACTGCTCGCTATGCTAGCAAACCACTCTGGGGTTCAGATGAGGCCTGGGGAGGGCATGGAACGTGGGGACCAATGTCAAGAGGAAGCATCACCTGAGGCAGAAAAGCTGGGCTGGCTTTCATGTGGGCTGTGTCCTTGAAACCAGAGCTGGGCACGGAGGCCCACCATAAAGACCCAAAGGACACTCATCTTTTTGGCCAAGGTGACCACGAGGAGGAAGAGGTTTGCCTGCCCAGAATTTTAGGCAGCAGTCACCTAAGGGTTAAAGAAAGGGGATAATGTACCCAGAGGGAGGGCCTTCCGAGGGAAATGGGGGTGCAGGGGCCAGAGGTAGAAGACGGGGAGAGGACAGCTAAGCAGAGCACCGAGACTATCTGCAAACAAGCCTTCCACACCCACCAGACTCCCTGAGCTGGGTCCCAGGCACCAAGGGCAGAGACCATCCTGGTGGGAGGGGGGTGGGAAGTGTCATGTGGGCACAAGAAGGCGAGAAGACGTGAGTACATAAAGAATCCCAAAACCGACTTACTTGATCCATCAAGTTTTACTCTCAATATGCATTGCCTTTCGAACAGTTTTTAAAAGTCTCTTTACAAGTCACCAAGCTCAATTTCCACTGAAGGCGAATAAAACCGGTATCTGTTCGCTAAGCAGCAATTTCGGGTAACTGAGTATTAAAAGCCTGAGCACCAGCTACTCCTTCCGGGACCTGTGAAGGTGACCCGCAATGACACCAACCAGAGCTGCCTTTCAAAGAAGACACTTCCTAAAGAGAACACGTGCTTGCTGTCTCACCCCTGCACACCCTTCTCCTTCAACCCTTCCCTCGGGGTTCAGGCAGGGCCCTCCCCTGCAGGCTCCAAGCCCAGGCCCCCCCTCCTCCGCGGCCACAGCACCGGGCTCCTGGCTTCCCTCTGAGCGTGGCTCCAGAGCAGGGGGACCGACAGCAGACTGCAAGTGAGTGGTAGATCCTTCCCTCCTAAATCTGGCAGGGAGGCAGGGAGGCAGGGCGGCGGAGGAGGCTCCTCCTTAGCTGCTGGACGAAGGGGGAAGGGAACGCTGGGGAAGGACAGGAGAAGAGCCTAGAAGAGCTGCTGTAGCTCAGGAGATGGGGGGGATGGGCAGCGGCAGAGACACAGCAGGGCCCCGCTGGATGAGGAGTGGGCAGGGGCACGACCTGGGCTCAGATCGCTCAGGGATGGGGGCGTGAGGTTATCTACTGAGACCCGCAGGCTGAGAATGGGTAACCGGGGGGAGGTCAGCCTCTGGGATGGGAGTGCAGTCAGCTGAGGCTCTAGCACATTTTGCAGCCTTTCTCTGTGGCCTGGAAGGAAGTGTGGAGAAAGCACAGCCCCGATCGGAGTGTCAGGACACAAGTGCTCAGGCACGTGAGTCTTGGGACTCTGGTTTTATAGTCTACATGACAACCTCTTAAATGTGTGCAGTCCTATCTTCTCATTGGAGTTTTAGGAAGTTTCTTGCCAACTTCCATGTTCACTGGACTGCTCGATGTCCCCTCAAACACAGCCCAGCACAGTCTCCCCAGAACAGACTCTCCTATTTCCCATTTCTCTCCACTCCTCATGCACTGACCCACGAGCTGGACAGTGAGGGAAGCACTTGGGTCGTGTCACTGCGGTCCACTGGCCCAGCAACCCTGAGGCTGGCGACCAGACTTCCCTAGCTCGTGGGTGAGGAAGTAAAGGCACAGAGAAACAAGGCAACAAGACCACGCCACACAGCTTAGCGAGGGGGGTGGATCTAGGTCAACCTTAGGTTTCTCAGACTCCGAAAACAGTGCTCTTTCTCATCTGGATCCCACCAGAGCTGCCATTAAAAAACACCCACGCAGGACCCCACACCCAGAGGGGCCGATTCAGTTCGTGGTGGGGATTAGGACCCAAGCTGGGTGATTTTCCAACCCTACCCCTCACCCCATCCCCACCCACACCCCCACAAGTGACTGTCAATGTGTAGCTGGGGCTGGGAGCCAGTATGCTAGACTCCAGGATGGTGAGGGCCTTGCCAGAGCTGTCGTGCTGTATCCTGGTGCCCAGCACTGTGCCTGACACGTGCTAGAAGTGCAGTCAATCCTTGTTGACTGAGGGAAGGAATGCAAGCCTTGCACTCCCTACCCAGGCTGCCACAATCCTCCCTCCATCCTGACCAAACCCGAGCTCTCCACCACAGGCGTGCACTGACTGGTGCCTGGGCCACACCTCTCCCTCCCCAGGGACATAAAAGTCATCTTCCCAGCATCGCTTTCGTCCCGCTGCCCTCTGTTCACCACCCTGCTACCTGTTCCAATGCCTCAGTGCTTGCTCCGTGTTTAAGGATACAGCTGCAACCCCTTCCCCTTAGTTGGGTATTTAAGACCCCAACCCCCCCACCTATCCTTTCAATCGTATCTGAATCACATCACCTACAGATCCCCTGTTATGGCCTCACGGGCGGGTGTCCTCCTTGTCTCCTGAGCAAGTCTTGTGAGTTCCTGCGGCAGTGACCTCAATAATGCACTCCCCTCTCCCTCCCCGCCCCATGCCCTGCCCATGTCTGGGTCCTCCCCATCCGCCAGGACCTAACCACCCCCGCCAGGCCCTTCATCCCAGGCTCCAGGAATCCCTTCAGAATCTGAACACCTCTGCCGAGCAGCTTACTTGGCTCCATTCTCACGTGGCTTCTAACCATCACTTCCATGCGCCTGTCCTAATTTTCTGACCAAACTATGGTCAGTTACTTGAGGGCAACAACTGGAGGCGAGTAACTTTACCTACCCCCCCCGCCCTCCCAGTGACCCCCGCTGCACACTCTCTGTGAACGCCAGGGGGGCACTCGGCATCTCCTGGGTCGGGGCAAGCGGTCTTACCTGTAATATCTGGACTGCAAGTAGGTGGAACACACAGCCTTGGACACGTGACTGGCCGAGCCGAAGTCGATGACCTTTACTCTGTACGGCTGTCTAGAAGGATCTACCAGCATGATGTTTTCTGGTTTGAGGTCGGCATGGATGAGACCTAGGCTTTTCAGTTTCATCAGGGCTGTGGCTACCTGCTGGAGGACTGGGCGAATGTATTTGAGGGGCAAGGGGCTAAACTTGTTCTGCTTCAGAAAGTCATAGAGGTTCTGCTCCAACATCTCAAACACCAAGCACGTGTGGTTCTTGTGCTGGAAGCACTCGTAGGCGCGGACAAAGTTGTAGTCGTCGGCACTCTCTGTGCTCAAGCGGGCCAGGATGCTCACCTCGATCTGACCCTGCCGGGCATACGATGGGTGGTTCTTCAGGATTTTGATGGCCACGATTTCATTGGTGCCCCGCTTCCAGCACTTGACCACTTGCCCAAACGTCCCTCGGCCCAGGAATTCTAAAACTTCGTAAGTGTTGGTCATGGAGCACAGCACCTCATGCTGGACCAGCTGGTAATCACCTTCGCTGTTGGAACCACTGTTTTTGGAGGTGGCAGTCGATGTGGTGGCAGTGGCTACAGTGGCCCCACTCGCATTGGTCTGAATCATGGGTGGATGCTCTTCGATGATCTGCACGCTGCTCGTGTTCTCAATCTCCTCACTCTTACGCTTGAGTCCACATTTTTGGTAGGTATCAAGAAGGCTCACAGTGCTTCGACGCATTAGGTTATGTGGTCCGCCGAGGACTTGCCCAGGGACAGAAGTGCTACTTGCGGATGTTACAACTATGTGCCCGGTGCTTCCTGGGAAGATGATGGTCTGCTCGTAAGGTAGGCTTGGGTTTGGGATTGGCAAGGAGGTGCTGACGGTTGTAGCGGCTGGCTGAGAAGGTGGTATGTTCTTGCTCTGGCTATACACTTTGCTGTGGGAGCCGTACCCAGTCATGTCCCAGGTGGAACGCGGCTCTACTTTCAGTTTCTTCACACTACAGAAGGCACTTGATTGAAGGGTGTGAGGGGAGAAGACTTGCACATGTGAGGCCATACCTACAAGAAAAAGGAGTGAATTAAATTAAATGAATGAATTCAGCAGATTCATCTCAGTTCTGACCAGCGGCTTGGGTCCTATACAATACTTTCCTTCCACTTCAAAGCAAGGTGGGGAAAGTGAATCTTTTCCCTCCCTCCCCCTGCCCTGGAAGCACATTCTGGCCACTCGGTTTGGGAGGCCAAGGAGGTTCTGGACTGTTCCGCCTGCCACCATTAGGAGCGTGGAAGAGTTGTAGAGTCAGTAGGGAATACAATCAAGATTCAGATACAGAATGAGCATATCAGAACTTTGTTCATTACTTATTTTTTTAGTAAACATTGTTTGTGATAGAAACAGATTCCATAATTCTCACTGCGTTGCAATCCTACTAAAACTGAGGACCGTATCAGGTGGGCCAGTTAACTGTTACATACTAAGTTGTCCCAACGGTCTACTGCTCCTTGTCACAGACCCCAGATTAGCTTGTTTGAAGAAACATCTTCCCACATAAGTCCAATCATGGAGCCACTCACGACTGCTAGCTTCTGGATGAACCATAATTACCCCCTGGGATCTCAGTCATCTTAAATGAATTCTGTAGGGCTGAGGAGATCAGCAGTCAGTCTGATATTTTCATTTAGATGGCCTAAATAAAATATTTTATCATTTATTTTATATGTTTTATATCATTAAAACATTTATTTATCTTGGGGGAGGAGTAGGTAGCATCATTCATGGGCTCCACTCACTAACTTTTCCTGTTAAGTTCATCTATCAATGTGTTTATCTAGAAAGTACTATTATTTCATGCCAACATCTCAGCCAAATTGAGATAACCACAGGAATCTAGAAGACCATAACTCTGGAATAGTTGTACAATTTACAATTATGGTGATTCTAGAAGCAAAAATTCATAGGAAACTATCAAGAAAAAATAAGACAATGAGAAAGGCAAGTTCTTAAAGGTGAAAGTAGAAACAAACACTGCTCATCATCTAACTGCAGCTGATGAACATTTCTCATAGAAGCACAAGGACAGCGGGGTTTTCATCAAGCTCCACTGGTGTCTAGCTGTCCTCGTGTTCATGTCTCTGACCCCTTCGCCTTACCTAGAGTGGTCATTTAACCTTTTCCTTCCCACCTGGTCCCGTCACCCTGGCCACCCTTTCTCTCCCAGCAGATACCTTCCACTTTGTCCAGGAGCCCAAAGTCAGCAACCGTACTTTCTACCTTTATTCTCTTCATTTCAGAACACTCCTGACTCTACGTCCACCCCCCATCCTTTCTTCCTTCTCTCCGGTCTCAGAGGAAGCTGTGTCTCTCCTTTCCAACACCAAATTTCCTCCCATTCTCATGATTCCTCCTCTCTGGTTCCTTCCACTGTCTTCTCCTTCTCTTACAGCTTTCAATTTCTGCCTGTTAATTAGATCCAAGTCCTTACTAGGTACTTAATAAAGTTTTGCCGAGCGAATCAATGACTTAATCTTTTTCTCCTGCCTTCATGTGTGTGCGGAATACACACACTCCCAACTTAAAAGCCAAGAGGAGTAACAGCCATACTCCTCCCCTTTAACTTTTTTCTTCTTCTCACCTGTAATCAGTGGTTTATGCTCCCTTTTCTTCAAGACTCATTCCTTAATCCATGGCCCCTGCCCCAGCACAACCACACACTACAGTTATGTGTTCTTAAAGGTAAACGACTTCCTAATTGCCCAACCCAAGGGACTTTTTCAGCCCCTATTCCCCCTGACCTCCCTGCAACATCTGATATGCTGACCACAACTTCCTTCTTGATGCTCTTATCTGTGCTTATGAGAATCTGTAATCTCCTCCTCCAGTGTTTGATTGCACACTGTGTGCCTCGGTGGTTCCTTTTCCTCTTCCTCCTTTAAAATGTTGGCATTTCCAACATTTTGACTCTGTTCTCTCTGGAAGACAATCATTCAAACAGTTTGAGCTGTCATGTCTATGCAGGCGACTCCCGCCTTCATGACAGGCCAGGCTCTCCCTCTTACCTTCCATGAATATATTTCTGCCTCCCGCTACATCAAAGACTATCTTCCAAAGCTGAACTCCCTTATCTTTTCCTAAAAATTTAACCATCTTGTACCCCTTTCTAGCATCCCCCTTTCTGTTCATAGAATATTCTTCTAGTCACTTGGTTCCAAAAATGTGGATTTACCTTTGATGATTCTTCTTTTATCCAAGGACAAGAAGGTGCTAAGTCTTAGTAATTTCTCCTTCTTTCAAAATGTCTTTTGTATCCATCTCTTTATTTCTGTTCTTGCTGCCGCTTCCATAGTTAAAGCATTGTCTAGTAGGACTGGACCAAACACAAACATCTGGTCTACCTGAGCAGTCTTTTTTTTTCCCCTCTAATTTGTCCATATTCAGCAGCCAGATTAATCTTCCTAGAACATTTCTAAGCATGTTACTCCTCTGTCCAAAAACATGTTCTTTTTCTTTTTTTTAAAAGATTTACTTATTTTAGAGACAGAGACAGAGAGTGAGTGTGTGTGGTAAGGGGTAGAGAGAGTCTTAAGCAGACTCCAAAGTGAGTGTGGAGCCAGACGTGGGAGTCAATCTCACAACCCTGAGATCACGACCTGAGCCAAAACCGAGTTGAATGCTCAACGAACTGTGCCACCCAGGCACCCTGTTCAAAAACTTTCAATGACTCCTTAGTGTCTACATGATAAGGTGGAGGGCTCTTTCACTTAACATCATCATGTTCGATTTCAATTACGTTGTTGGCTTCATCACCAACTAGTAACTGTCCTCAACCTCCAACTTGAATTAAGCTGTTCTACTTACTGTTTCTAGAATGTCTCTTACATGCCCTGCCTCCACACTCTTACACCATCCCCTCATCTGGCACGCCTTCACCTTTTCTCTCAATTTATTCAAAGACAAGACAATTCAGATCCCTCCTCTTCCCAGACCTCTCCAACCCACACTGATCAGTCCCACATCTCTTTCCCAATGGCACTTACCATATGTACTATTCATTTGGCCACAAATTGCACTTTTGACTTGCAAAATCTCTTTTGTCTTGTTGAACTGAATTTCTTATCTTTTGTGCTATTTCACTTTTTACACATTTAGGTCACGTTTCCATAACCAGGCTATATTTTGGGTCCAAGAGCTACAGTTTATACTTCATATTCGTGTTTTCCCCAGTATTAAATCAAGTTTATTATCCATGGTAGGCATTCAGTTGACGGAATAAAGCCCTCTAACTGGCCAGGCCTCCCTGAGAGCTTAGTTCTCTGGCTACAGAGCAATGACCAGTCATAGGCACCTATGGAACCTGGCCTTCCTCTGGAGAGTAAAGAAAAACCTGCCACTATTTTCCCACCCAAACCCAGACTTTTTAAAAAACCAAGGCAGGGGCTAGGCAGCTCCTGTCCTGGTGTCAGTGCTCACGTTCTGTTTGTACTTCAGCCTGGACGTGCTCTGACTTCCCACAAGCAGCCTCAGCCTGACACCAGACACACGCTCTGAACCCCACCTTCACCCTGATCCCGTAGATCTGACAGAGGCTTCCCTTCTTGTTTGGATCCTGAATTCCAATATCTACCTATGCAAAATGATATCTCCATATACATCCTTCTGCCTGATGAGACTATTTTGGCTTGCTTATTCAGAATCTACACTACCTGTTTTTTCCTATTCCTCTTTTTGTTCAAGTCAACCTCCCCCCAATTCTGCAATAACACTGAAAATGTTTTTTCCCATAGTTATCAGTATTAAATATTCATATTGTTTTAGATGTTGTATACAATATAGAAATAACCAATCCCTTGACTTTTAGTAACTTAACCACTGGAGGCCAAACAAATAAGCATTCCCCTTTGTCCTTTGCTACCTAGTTTGCTCCTCATTCCTCAATCCTCAAGTACTTGGGGAGGAGAGGGTTGGGTGGCAGTAGAGGAAATACGCTGAGGTTACATAAAAGAGAAGTGGCTCTTTTTTCTATTTTCACTGTTTCAAAAACATTTTGGTAGAAAGGCCAGGGTGCAGAAGTGGAATTTTACAGATGGAAAGAGGATGGCTTATGACTTATTTGTTATTGGGATGACAGCCAAGGGTCATAAAATTGTGGAAATCATCACTGGCTACCTCTGGTGATGGATGCCCAGGATCAGAGAGGAGATGTGCATGGCTAGAAATGCCCTTCACCACGCCTGCTGCCTCAGACTCAAACACCATTCCTCAGGGTTATCATGGTTCTCCAGATTTTAAAATCTTGATCACCTAAGTACGTACTAGGCTCTGAGCTGGATGTTTTATGGACGGGGTGAGCAAACACCAGACTCTGTCTGGGACAGTCCAGAGTTACCCTTTCCAATTCATTCTCGCAAGGGTCCTACTTTGAAAGCTAGGAAGTCAAGTGATGGGTTTAGGTTCCTAAGATAAGTGGAAAAATCAAACCCTGATTTTAGAAGTTCAAATCAAGGGCGCCTGGGTGGCTCAGATGGTTAAGCGTCTGCCTTCGGCTCAGGTCATGAGCCCAGGGTCCTGGGATCGAGTCCCACATCGGGCTCCCTGCTCCTTGGGAGCCTGCTTCTCCCTCTGCCTCTCTCTCTGTCTCTCATGAGTGAATAAATAAAATCTTAAAAAAAAAAAAAAGTTCAAATCAAGGTAATTCTACGTGCCTCTTTGCCTCTGTCTTAATGGTTTAATGAGAAATTCAGTTTTCTAGGGTTAAGAATAGTATTTTCCACCTAAAAATAAGAATAGCCAAAAATCTTTATGATTTTCCTTAAGTCTTAACTCATAAGATTTTTTTTTTTAATGTCACTTATTAAAGGACTGGCTCATTTAGTCCTCTCCCCCCCCCCTTATTTGCTTAGTTTCTTCATAATTTTATATTTCACAACTAGATGAACTGAAAAGTTGCTTCACATCTGAGTACATTTCCTTTCCATTTCACCACCCCAAAATTATCTACTGGAAGATCAGACTCTGGTGAAACCACGGAGCTGAGTGAGGGTTCAACTATGATTTAAAAAGA